AAAAGCTATTAAAATTTTGTAATTTTTAATTTGTAATGAATAAAATTGATGATTTATAATAGATAAACTTGAAAGATGATAAATGATAATTCAATATTTAATTAATTTTAACTTTATTTATATTTAGAATTATTATATTAGTAAAAATTTATAATGAAAAAATATATATTAATTCTAAATAATTTTGTTGCTTATATTTATAATATCTTTAGAAAGACAAAAATTTAAATACATTTATACATTAGATATAAATAAATTTTTAATCTTTACATTATGAAATGAATTATGTTTCATTTAATAACATTAATAAATATATCTAAATTTTTTATAATATAATTTTATAAAAATTTAAAAAGAATTTAAAAACGACATCAAAGTTTACATTTTCTTTTATTTGGTTACAGAAATGGCGAATGCTCTTCGACAAGGTACGTCTATGAATTATTCGACATTTATTATTTGGAAATCAACTTACACGATATGTTGCATGATTGAGTTTTTTTCTTTAGTTTGATCCCGAAGGTTTTGGCGAGATACCGGTGGAGGATTTTTTAGCAGCTTTAAAGAGTGCCGAATGGAAAACTGAAATACCGCCAAATAAACGGGATATACTTCTCACTAGAGCAAAGGAATCACGTGTTGAAGCGGTAACGTTTCAGGATTTCGTCAATGTGGTGAGTAGATATATTCAGATTTCAATAAAATTATATATTCATAGGAACATAGAAAAATATATATATATTCAATAGAAAATTATATCTTATATAAAAGAGATATTTATTTACCTATATTTTTTATCACTTTTTTATTCACAATTGTTCAAAATAATACAAAAATTTTATTAAAATTTAATATAGAAATGAAGATGCATTTTATATATTGATGAATTACTTGTCATTTATCTTTAAAATAGATTAAAAAACAAAATTTTTTTATTATTGAATCATATTTTGTGTTTTCGATAAATTAGTCACATATTTATAATTTAAAGTTTCTATTTTGTAAGTTTGAATATTTTATATAAGTCACAATATATATATGACTTATTATTTTCGTATTTTAACTTTCAAATTGTATTATTTAATTGTAACCAAAACATTTTCATTTGGTTAAATAATGAAAAAATTCGTATTATGATAAAATCAACTTTAAAGTTACTTTGACTTGTAAAATATTAATATATATAAGGCATTTCTCGTTCCATAAAAATTTTTCAAATATTTGAACAGCTAAAATAAATTAAAATATAAGTTAAAATATAAAATATAAAAATAAAATATAAAAGGTTATATCAGAAATATAAAATATGATTAAAAAAATGGTAACATATATACATTATTACTAATGTAATATAAAATAAGGATATTCTTATATCTATTTTTAGATTCGTTTATTAAATTCAATAATATATCGAGAATAATATTAAAATTTTTTGAAATAGAAAAAATATAAGTTAAATTTTTTCTCATTTTTCATATTTTATCAATATAAATTATCAATATAAATAATATTACATAAATAATATTTTGCTATAAATAAAATAATATTTTCTTAAGAATTTTATTTTTAATATTTCTATTTTATAATTGAAAGATTCGGAAGCCAATTAGTGTAATATTAAAAATGATTTATGTAGTTTAAGAATTTCTTTATTATTTAAATTATCAATTGATAAATTAATATTATAAAGTGAAATATTAACAGAAAATGTGAACAATAAAGAGATTTTTTAATTGTATAATATAACTGATTAGTTGCTTCTAAATTTTCTGATTGCTTCTGAACTCTCTATTTATATAGATAATATATTATATCAAATGAATTTGCTGTATTTGGAATATTTTACATATTATTGATAAAAATTAAAGATATTATAATATTTCTCTAGTTTTTTAACTCGTTTTCGAATCTATCAATTTATCAAAACATTGATATAAATACAAAATACGATCTTAATCTTAATTAAATCCAAACAACCGGCCAATTCACATAAAAGCATCATGTACGATTATAATCTGCTTAAAAATGCGTGTCAAAAATAGGATACGAGCATCAAATTTACATCGATTTTCCTGAAAGAAACTCAAGGATCGTGTATCGGCATACAAGACGAGACGAAACGGATCGAAAAAGGTTTACCGGTGGTTAAATAGACTTATTCTGCTCGACGAACAAGCTTCAGGAAACTTTTCATTGTCCGTTTTATTTGTCAATTCGAAAAATACGGCTATGCTCTGGAATTTCGTTCTTCATGGTACTAGAAAGGCGATAAAGAGATGGACGGTACGAAAAAGGGAGATCCTTTTTGCAGAAAAGGGAATACGACGAAAAACTGGTAGATAAATATCGGGAACAATGATAATCTCACCGTTTAAAGGCACACAACGACACGGACACAACCTCTTTGTCTGCTTGCTGACAACTTTTTGGCGGTTTCCTCCTACTCTCCTTTTTTTTCCCTTGATCCCTGGTTGAGGTAAGCAGATCTGACATTGAGTGGCAGAAAATTGTCCGCGTACAAATCGAAATGATTCAAATCGTAGGTTAAACAACGCGTAAAGGGATTTCTCGGGTAAAACCGCGCTTCATAAAGCTGGTATTGACATTCCGCACAGATTTTATCTATCATATCCGTGTTTCCCGAAATTATCTCGACTGTAGTTGTATATTTTCCTCGATAAAATCGACGATCAAATCCATGGATATTATATATTTTTTGTTTCGTTCATTTTTTTCTTTTGTTTCTTTTTTTTTTCTCGTGTGGTTTCGTTTTGCCTGATTTTTCTTGGTTTCTTTTGACTTTATTGAAGTAACTATCCCAGTATATATACTTCACTGTTTTATTTTTAACGATGCTTTCTTTCGTTTCATTGCTGAAATCTTGGATATTCGTGAATTATGAATAAATGAAATGGATGGATAAGAACAAGCTGCGAGAAATATTTGATCACATAAAAAAATGTTGTATTGAAAAAAATTAGAGAATTCTTTAAAATGTTATTAAATGCTTAGTTAAAAAATAATTGGAAAAGAATGCGAAAAGTTTAGATTTTAAAAATATTTATATTAATGTTCAATTTCATAAAATTTATATTTTTTTCAATACTTTTTATATTCTTGTTTAATTAATTTTATTTATTATATTCTTTAAATAGTTTAACAATTATTGGAACATAATTAAATATTGAATGTATTAGAATGTATATATTAATTTTATAATATAAATCACAATAAAATTTTACATAATATAATATAATATTTTACAATATGATAATATAAATTATTTTTAGAATTTGATAAGTGTTATAAATATTTTTATATTTTATTATTTTTTTATTTTAAAATCTATCTTGAAAATTTATATCATTTAATAATAAGCATTATATTTTGTATATTTGTCTTTATCTTATTACTATTGAAATGAATTAAATCTTACAAAACACTAATCTTTTTATCTAATCCTTTTTTTTTGAATTGATTTACTGAGGTAAAATTCAACTACAAGATTATTATACAGCAAATGTAAGATTTGCAAATATTATTGTATTTAGTAAAAAAGAAAAGATTTTCTATACAGATGTTTTTCATATATAAATATTTTTCTTGTATAAAAAGATTTTATTTTTGAAAGAATTCTTTTAGAATAGTTTTTTTTTTTATTTTGTTTAAATAAGAATTTATCCTTTTGAAAAAAAAAACATTTTGTTTCATAAGCGTTTTTTTTTGTTCAAAGTAATTGTTTCAATTTTTTATTTTTTTTCCAAATTTTTATGAATATTTATTGACATTTTGATATTTTTTATATTTTACATTATACATTTTCATATTTTTTATTGATATTTTTTTTAACTTTATAATTTTTTTAAAATAAAAATTTTAACATTTATAGGCAATTTTTTTTGAATTTCTCGTTATGATTTTCATTTTTTTTTTTAATAAGAGAATTAAATCTTTTGAACTATTTATATATTATAAGCTTTATATTATATTTTCTGGCCAAAAATTATAGTTTCTGGCCAAAAAATTAAAATTAATTACAGTTACAATTTCCAAAATTTTTTGTATTTCGATGAAATTTAAAGGCAATAATTAAAAATTTAATGACTATACTATCATTCTTTTAATATTAATCCAATTGAAAATATTTGAAGTTCACTTAAAATATTTGTATACATATGATCAGTCTCCACATTATTTAAAAAAAAAGATTTTAGATATTTGATAAAATCATTCAAAAATAAAAAATATAACAAAACAATGTATATAAAGCACATTGTAAAATCAAATCAAAAAAAAAAAAAAAAGAAATACAAATTATCAACATATATATACATTACAATATGTTTATACATTAGTAATTAATAAAAGTTATTATTAAATTTGACAAAAAAGTTGAAAAATGTTGGAAATGGTCTTTACTTTTTCTTTCCAGTCTCTATATAAATTATTTCTATATAAATTATGAATAGCAAAAAAAAATTTTATCTTTATATTTTCCGTCCTATAATGCTCAGATATCCATATACATATATTCCAACGATAGCTACCGTACTTTTCACGATAATAGTGTTGAAGAGAGCGAATCATATACATACCTATCCTTTTTTATTCGTGTTTGTTATCCACAGTTGAATACCAGGAATTCGATTCTTTTACCGCACACGAGACGACACAGTGTGATAGGATTAAACCCGCAGGTGGTTAAAGGTAGACGCAATTATTCAAGAGTATGGAATCGCAAGCATTCTCCGCGCGGTAGTATGATTTACGGTCGACAGGATCGAACAGCGGTAACCAGGATTTCCGTGCATGCGCCTCTCTTACTCTCATTGCACTATATAACGCTTGCATACTTATTATTTCACACGACCACGAACAAACGTGATAATCTTGTTTGTCGTGCGACTGACGGTGCACATATTTTACGCTATATAAGGCTGTAACAATGAGAACAGAAGAATAGGGATAGTATTTCCTGAAATTTCGCCCAGTACTTTCAATTACCGCGCAATCTGTTATCGTTCCACGCTTTGTTTTATCATTTGTTATTTCTTCTACCTTCGCGTTTTTCGTTGATATCTGCGTTTGCGGATAGGTTTGTATTGTATCTATGCATTGTTTTGAATGTATCCACGATATAATTTTGTTATTAAAGAGACAAATTCTTTTGAAATTTAATTAATTGGAGATAGTAAGAGTAGAGACAATTACTGTGTTTATTGAAGTTAATCTTGAGGTTTTTATTAAATTAAACCAATATTTTTCATTTTTTCCACTTCTTAAGATATATATTATCGATACAATTCTTTTTTACATAAAATATTTAAAAAAATCTTAATTATCGATCAACAAAATGATAAAAGAAATTCTTGAGTTATTGTGTTATTGTGTGTTGAAAAAGAATAGAAGAGTACTATATGTTAATTAGTGATGCATTTCAATTTTTAGTACAGTTTTTACGAAAACTCAAAAAGTCATAATTGTTTAAATATTACATAGTAACAGAAACAAACTTAGAATTTATTTCAATTAGTAGACTCATAATATAAAATAATATTAATATTATATATTAATAAAAAATAAAATTTAAAAGAACTTACTTAATGATTTCTTTAACTTTAAAAACTTTTCTTAAGAACATTGATTGTTTAGATTTAAAGTTTTTAGTTTCAAA